AATTTATATTTTGACCTCACTATTCGGGGAACAGACACAGTCTTTATAGATTGGACAGCGGAAGTACTTCTATCATTTAAGTGGGTAGAACAAAAGTCATCATGGCAGTTATTTGAGATTTGACTTACTAGTCATATGGAGCTCAGCGACTTGGAGATGTTGTCCGACATGAGTTCCGCTCTGACTCTGCTGGAACGATGATCCTCGTCGCGGGCGATGTGCTGCGCACCGTCTCGATCAGGATCTTGAAGTCCCTCTTCAGTGTCTCCGTCTGCCGCATCTTGGTGTCGTTAACACGTGCGTGAAGCACGACCGCTCCGGGGCTCTCGTCGCCCTTCAGGATCGTGGGTATCTGCGCAGAAACATCGAGAACACGAGCACCAGGGAAACAGTGGGTGTGCACTTTACCTTCAGCGCACTGTATACTTACCCTGGACTTGTGAGTGTCAGCCCGGGATGTTTCCAGCGTGGCTCTCCACTCTCTCAGCTGGGCCTGCCTCTCCACCAGGTCGCGGATCTGCTTCTCCACGGCCTCCAGCTCGACCTGCACCGAATGCAGCTCGAACGTGTCCTCGCCTGCACTCAAAGGTAGACACACATCCGCCATTAAAGCAAGTAACAGTGAGTAAAACAATGGTAATGTGTGTGAATAGAGTATTAGCAATGTAAGCGAGATTAGCGGCAACCACGCTGGCAATGCTAGTGGGCTATATGCTAATAGCGGACTCGGGAAATCAAAATAAAACTAGTGATAAGGCGCTCTGATTGTTTTTGTTGTAGAATACGATCAGGGATATATTCACATGTTATAGAAACTAAAATTATGGTGTATAAAATTGATTTTAAGATAAAAAATAGATTATAAAGAATTAACTTGACGGAGCTCAAACTCAAAATACATGGCAGCAACAAACAGGAAGTGACGTGATCAGATTAGCGAAATATCGATTTGCTCTTTAGAGTCGGCATGAAACGGAAGTAGCGATTGTCTTTTTTTCTCTACTGTGACGTCTATCCGAGTGAAACAGCATTATAAAGAATTAACTTGATGGAGCTCAAACTCAAAATACATGGCAGCAACAAACAGGAAGTGACATGATCAGATTAGCGAAATATCGATTTGCTCTTTAGAGTCGGCATGAAACGGAAGTAGCGATTGTCTTTTTTTCTCTACTGTGACGTCTATCCGAGTGAAACTCAGCATTTGAAATGAGAGGGTGGGACTTGATTTCGTCAATTCGGGAATCGATTGGATCGTTGGAAGTTGGGGCGTTGCTAACAAAATGGAGGCAGATCTAAATGCCAGTTTGGACGACGACAACGAGGACGATAAATGGCACAAAACATACCTAACACAGACCTGCCAAACTGTACGCATTTTGCGTAGCGGGTACGCATTTTGACCTTAAAGTACACTGGTACGATTTGTCACTCTAGACCACGACAACGAGGACGATAAATGGCACAAAACATACCTAACACAGACCTGCCAAACTGTACGCATTTTGACCTTAAAGTACACTGGTACGATTTGTCACTCTAAACTACGCAAAAACCCGGTGACCTGTCCACGAGCAGTAAACAAGCAACAGAAAAAGATGGAGTTCAATCAATCAGAGCGTTTTCTGTGTTTTTTTTATTTTTATTTCTCTCCAAACTGGCTCTGTTTGTGTGTCCGTGAGTCCTGTGCTGAGATGAGGAAACACGTGTATGGTATTTCCTGGAGTCTGAGCTCTATTTCTTCGGTGATGCATATGTGAACTTTCTGCACAGGGGCGCCCTCTAGTATCCAGTATGACTGAAACAAGACATTACATGTGTTCATAGCACTAAATAATGGCCAATCTATAAAAATAATACTTCTCTCAAAATAAATTTAAGGTAGATATGTGATTATCCATGTTTTTCTACAGTGTACAACAATGTACTGGAGTTTGTTTTTTTTAAAAAGCATTTAAAATCGCTAAAAAGAACTCTGTTGTGCCAAACAATCAGAACCAAACTGAAAACTGTTTAAAAAACTGAGGTATTTATTGAACCTTGGGCTAACTGTATTGTTGCATTCCTACTGTTTACTCTAAAATACTGTATAACAGGAATATCACAAACTGAGTGCAGACTCTGAGTACTAACCTATGAAAAATATTTAACATGAAGTCTAGCATTTTGCACATTGCGCAATTACGATTTTGACATTAGCCATCAAGGAGCTTCAAGTAATGTAGGAATAGGCACTCAAACTTTTTTCCAAGGTTGGCAGGTCTGCTAACAGCGTGCAAGAGAGAGAGACTGCCTGAATTACTGAGCGCGTCCTCCATCAGGTTAAGTCATATTCACTAAAAAAATAGTTTGCGATGTCCTAAGAGTAATGTTGTGGTAATATCCTAATATCCTTTCAATTTTAAGGGTAGTGTACTCCTATGGCTTGCGTCAGCACTGGTCAATACATTGATTTCTATAAAGTTAAGCATGAGCTTCTGCTTTTCCCCCTGTTGTTTATCCCAGCGTTTACCCCTCACGTCACTAGCTCCGCCCTTGCGCCATAGCTCGTGATTGAAGAGAAGATGAGTCGTTTTGAGGGGGAGGGGTGGTTAACGTTTTTGATTAAAGATTACGAGGGCACATACATTTTTTTTTTAAATAATGAAGTGCACGTATACATTATTTATAATAAACCCTAGAGTATTCCATTAAAAAAATAAGAATTAAAAATTTAGATTTCATGGTGAGTTTAAAGCCCCGTTCACACCAAGCACATTAACTATAAAGATAACAATAAAGATATAGTTCTAAAAATCGTTCTCAATATTAAAGAATAGCAGGGTCCACACCACAGCTATAACGATAAAGGCACAGAGAAACGATATCGTTGAAATCACTTTTTTAGAACAAATTTTTTTTTTCCTGTTGATGAACGATAAAATCATTGACACCCAATCAGAATCAATCCTGCTCTCACGAGTTTGAGAATTTAAAGCGGCAGACGCATGTGCACTTAGAATAAACAGACGATATCGTCCACTGGTGTGGACACTGATATCGTTATCTTTACAGTTATCGTTCTTGGTGTGAACAGGGCATTACTCAGAAGGCGGGGCGTCGTTCGATAGAGCGGCCATATTGAGCGTTGCATTTTTTTCCCCATTCAAAACTATACTAGTGACCAGTGTTTGGAGTAACGCATTGCAAAGGTAATAATATTACAGTACGTATATTACGTTTTGCTGTAACGCAGTAATATAACGCATTACTAATAAAATTTGGGTAATATTATTACTCGTTACAATCTCAGTAACGCAAGTTACAACAACATATTTCTAACACCGCAAAACAGCACCAGAGAAAAAATGGGTAAAGTGGGTAAAATAGTTAGTCTATCTTCTGTTGCTGGAATTAGATGGTTGAGATGACTGCAGAGATGGATTCTACATTTGTGAGATGGACACACTCACGAGAAATAGCACGAGTAAAACCTGGAAACACTGGACTGGTGCCACTAAGAGTAAGGTATCGGAGAGAGCTGCAGGGTCGGAGAAGAGAAAAAAGGTGGCGGACGAGCGCAGACAAGCAACAAAAATTAAGTTTAACTAAAAATAACCAAATCTGTTAAATCATAGTGTATATGACTATGCCGTTCCGCGCCGTATGGTGCGCTGTGAAGATAATAAAAATGTAGGCTATTAGTTTAGGCTACTCCTCATTGAGAATGTTTTTTATTAAACAGGTCTATTCATTTATACAATTGAATTATAGGCCTATAATAAAAATTATTAACAGTGCAGTCATCGTTGAAAATTAAGAGCAGCTTTATTTCGCGCACAGGTTTTAAAAAACAACCTGTTTAACGCGAAATACGTTTCTTCTCATGTATTTCACTATACGGGCCACAAGAGAAATATTAAGGGAATAATTTAAGACAGTTATATACCATCATCAGCCTACATTGAAGTAATTTTGTCTCTTGTTGTCTCAGAGAATATGCACCGTTAATGCAGCATTAGAAAGCTCTGTCAGTTTTTTTACTTTCACTTTCTCTCTAGTGAATTTACTGACATTCACCTTGCTTGTGTTGCTTGACCCGCCCCCATAATATCAATTGTTTATAGGCCACATATTTTTTTTAATGTTACTGAAAGTGACACCAAAAATAAGGGAACATCATTAGGAAATCATTGGCGGGGCTGTGCCCGGGCTAAACAAGTTTCTGATGGGCCCCGTCAAGCCCCGCCCTAGCGCCGCCACTGATTAGCCTAATTAGTTTTGGCTTGTTTAGCAACTTATTTTTTTCATTCTTGTCTTCTTCTGAAACCGTTCAAATTTGCCTATAGGCTAGGTATTGTGATTATTGTTTGTACATTATAACATTTCGCTTTATTTACCGGTGTTATTTATGAATGTAATAATGTGGTTTCTGCTTATCTGTGTTTAACCTAAACTACAACGTAACATTAATGTAGACCTACATACCGGCATCTAAATATGATTTTATAATTGTATGCTATATAGACCTACCACATTACCCTCCACTGGGTGTAGAATGAGCAGCAATAAACTACATTTTGCCATTTTATAATACTTAACGCATTACAATTCAGAGACAGTAATATTGTAATGTAAATAATTACTTTCAAAAGACAGTAACTAGTAATATATAATGTATTACATTTTGGAAGTAACTTGCCCAACACTGCTAGTGACACATCTTGGGTATTCTATAGTCTTTGATGATTTCAGTTATTGTTCACATCTGTAGTACAAACTGCATTGGACACTTACATTGCACATCAAGGATAAAGAAAAAATGCAAGGAATAGTAAAAGTGATGCACTTTTTGAAAATGAAATAATGTTGTTTAAAACAGTTGTAAAAGTGTACAAACAGATACATTTACATTTGTAAATATGCATTTGCTAAGGATTTTTACATAATTTTTTGGCATTATATCTTGCTTTTTTATGTGTATTTAATCTGTTCTGTCCTTCAGAGCAAAGAGAGAGAAGGCATTCTTAGCCAGCAGCTAGAGGGTGCACGACAACAGCTGGCTGATGCTCTCAGACGCCTCGCTCAGCGTGAAGAGGATGTACGCCGCTGTAATGTGGATCTTACTGAAGCTCGTTCACAGCTTGTCACTTTAGAACTAGAGCTCCAAGAGGCCCGGGAAACCTTGAGAAGCCTGGAAGAGGAGGCAGAGAAGCAGATCTCCTTACAGGTCCGTATGAGAGAGGAGAACATCAGGCTGCAGAAACGTGTGGAACTCCAGCAGCAGAGGAAAGAGGAGGAGCAGAGATCTCTGTTGGATCTCCAGGGCTCAGTCAAGAACCTGAGCGCTGCCAGAGCTGACCTTGCTGCCAAACTGGCTGAAGTGGAGCGCTCCAAGAAGGATCTAGAACAACAGCTCGCTGCAGCTCAGGAAGAGAGCTCCTCTTTTGGACGACAGCTGGAACTGGAGAGGCAGGTCCATCAGAAGAAGCTAAGCCACCTCCGAACGATCCAGCAAGAAGGAAAAGCCCAAAAGGACAGAGATCTACATGACATGCTGAGATTATATCAGCGAGAGCGAGAAGAACTGGAGGCTTTCGTCAGAGACCTTAAGGTTTGAATATTAATCACAGAACCTGTCTGTACATGATTAGAGGAATAGTTTACCCACAATTAAAATTCTTTCAATATTTACTCACCCTTATGTCCTTCCAAATCTGTAAAGTTATTTTTTTCTGTGCAGGGCTTGACATTAATGGTTGTCTGCTTGTCCAGGACAAACACAAACAAACAAACACATAAATAAAATTAGGATTAAAAAAAAACTTTTTAAATGAGGTATAGAGGCAGCATGCATCTATCATATATTCAAAAGGTGATTGAAAACAAGAAGCATGCATATGCATATTTTGATTGCAAGAAAAGGTCAAAAGAGCATCACTATGAAACCTGTGTACAGCTTGTTTGGACTACTTTTTTTTTTTTTAAGCACTATGAGCTGTCGCTGTATGCCAGGAGCTGTGTAATAATTCATTCTTTTTTTATGTTCCAATGGAAAAAATGTCAGCATACGAGTTTGGAAAAACATAAGAATTTTTTTTAATTGTTCTTATTTCCACATAAATTGCCACAAGTACATTCTCCATTTTAGGTTAACAACAGACCCAACGGGAAGGTGCTGTCTATAGCGCAGACAAAGCAATTTTTAAATGCCCTTCTTTATGCAAGGGGTTGGATTTTGGCTAGAGCTTGCTGTAGGCTTGAATATTTAAACCTGTTGTTTTGTTTGTAGCCTCTGTAGGGTAATATAAGCAGGTTTTTACCAGAGAGCAAGATTGTGCCCAAAGGGATCTTAGAAATCTACAATTATTTCTAAGAAGAAATGAAGAAAACAATGTGATAATATTGTTTCTTTGCTTGTGTAGTCGGAGGCAGTGGCCGATAGTGAACTGAGGAGAGTTCTGCAGCTGAAGCTGGACAAAATGAGGACTGAATGTGATAAACTTACGGAGCAGCTGAGCACCAGCGAGGAGAATCATACTAAGCTCCTCCGCAAATGCCATGCCCTCAAAAAAGAGCTGGATGTGAAGGTAAAGTTTAAGACAATAGACAGGAGAACACATGGCACATAGAAGCAAACACAACAAAAAAGCCATGTGTTCTCACAAGACAAAAACATCCAAATGAAAACCCTTACGAGCTGCGTGTTCACACAAAACAAGACAACATGAAAGTATGCAGCAACACGAGCCATGTGCTACACTGAACATGGCAACACAAGAACGCCTGGCCAAAAAAAGCCAGGCTCTCGACAAAAACTTCAAGGCAAAAGCACATGTCGAGGGAATGAGCACTGAACAGAAAAAAAAAAACATGGAGCATGAATGTCCGAACCCCGACACGGAACCAAAACTAAACTAGACAGTGCCGGGATCTGAAAACCACATTCTTTACTTAAATTACATAAATACTAGGACCTAAAGTGTACATATCAGTACTTAAAAAAAAAAAGTTACTCTGCCCCAGTGACAGTTTTGTACATTATATTCTGACAGTGTATAGGCTACTCCTTCAAAATAAACCTGGAGCCGTATTCTTGAAATACTTCATTGTTGTTTTATAAATGTTTTATAAACATTCCCAGGAGACAGAAAAGTGGCTTCTGGACACATTCAGTACAAAAAAGAGAATTTAACCAATAGTTTAGTTCACTTCAAAAACGAACAAAGTGTCATCAGTGACAATTATATTTCATAAAAAGCATATACTTTATTCAAGCCACAAAACTTATTACTGAAACACACAATACACAATCTTCAAGTACCAATATGTAGCAATTTTGAATAGTTTTTTTTTATACAGTGGTAATTATATAACCATTAGCCTACAACAATAAAAGAGGTTAGATCAATATGGACACATGTAAGTATGTTTCTCTCACTAGTTGGGAAATGTTGTGCCTGCACACATATCTCAGTGTCTCAGATGTTGTCTTAAAGGCACAATATGTAATTTTTTGCCACTAGAGGGCGCGTATTCAAAACAAACAAAGAAACAAAGGCGTAGTTAGATGACGCTGTGACTGAGTGTGGAATCATGGGAGTTGTCGTCTTCATCCCCACAGCCGAAGCAATCCGATGGGACTCGGGCAGAAATCATGTTCATGGATGAGCTAATGTATTAAAGATTTATTAACGTCGTAGTATGAGGCAGAGTGAGGCGGAAAGCTGTCGAAGCAAAACGAGGCCGCTGAACGACACACGGCCGTGACACACGGCTCGAAAGCAGCAGAGCTTTTATTATGCCACAGTCAACCGCTTCCGCTCCTTCCGGAAAGCAGCGGAAGTAAGCAGCGCTGTTTTATCATACTAGATACATTTGAACGTTCTGTTATAATGCTACTCTGTGCGGTCATCACCCGTCTAATAAAATGCATAGCATATTAAAGCGTCTTTGGTGTTTCCATGTTTTCTACAAAACAAATCGAGGGTGTGTGACGTCATTGGCAGGCAACACAATGACACTATAGACACGGTCCGTGTCACTAGTTAATATTGCTTATTTCTCTGGATTTAAACATTCTTTGAAACATTTGGGATAATGTAAGTACACAAGTCAGCAAAATATATAAAACTGTTCTAGTGGTTTTTGGATATTTTAATAAAAAAACCTTATATATTTTGCCTTTAATGTCTCCTCTGTAGGTAGCAGAGAGGGAGGAGGAGAGGAGGCAGAGTGCAGGGCACTCCATGGCGGAGCTGCATGAGAGGGTCACAGGCCTCCAGACGGAGCAGGAGTCCATCCTCCATGCCGTAGGGACTCAGATTGACTCAGCTTGCCAGTTCTTGACAAAAGACTCAGCCGCCAAGCTTGAAGTACCCACACACACACACACACTACAGTACACTACAAAAAACATATGTTGCAATATAGTAAAAGCTGCACCCAAATTTGTATACTGTTAGAGTATGTACTGCTTTTTCTGAAGAACTTACTACTTATAAAGTACGTGTAGTGTGAGTGAAATCTGGACATGCTACAAATACCATGTTGGCATGTGACTTATGATGTCCACTATGTCACTAGCTTTCAATCCACCTATTTTTATGCACATTTTGGGATATCTCTTAAAAAACGGTGGATGGAAACACCAAGATGTGCATACATTTAAAAAATGTATTTTTTTAAAAAGTCATGTGATTTTGTGCGATGGGACAGCATAACTGGACTAATAAACGAACCGATCTTGTTGCACGCCATCTAAAATGCCTGAGCCAAAGTCTGTCATTAAAATGGTTTGGTATAATTACCTCCCAGAACTGTCATACACAACTTTGTTCCCAAACAGCAGGCATCTGTCTCTGAAAGAAAGATGACGTGACCGTATTGTTTGCATTTCGTCTGTGCGCTCTGAGACACATGTAATTTATTATATACAAAAAGTAGACCCACAGTGGTTTCTCCTACTGCAGCAAATTACCTTTTTTAGTGGTATTTGGCACCAATTTATCATGAAGTTATGATTTTGTTCTCTTCATCTTGCTGGATAAAAACGGTGCTTTATTCACAAATATTTTATGCAATATTTAAATTTTGCACACAAGTTAACTTTGAACATAGGTACTGTTTTCTGCCATTAATGACTCCCTTGCCCTCCTGGCATGTTTAAGGAAAATTAATAACTTGAAAATAAAGTAAATATCTTAATGGCAATTTCTGACTGACTGGTGTTGCTCGTGTGCATTAATAAATAGTTTTACTTGGCCACTTAAAGAGCTGCAAGAAATCAACTGATCAAACCTTGTTATAGAGTTGGGGTACTTGGACTCGGGACTTGGACTCAGTCTCAGATTTAGACTCAGACATTTGGACAAAGACATTTTTTTTCAGGGTGCTGACAAATCCATGTAGTGTAACACAAGATAAAAAAATAAGTAACAACATAAAATTAAGATAAAAAGACAATAATCGTTCCACTCACACACAATTACTAGAATTATTAAAAACTAGGACTCGACAAGGTGGACTCGGACCCAACACAACCTTGTTACATAAATATGTAAAAAATAAATATATTAAAAATATGTTATAGGAAAGATGAATTCTGATAGTGCCAAGTTTTCTTCCCAGATGAACAGAAGTCTTGTCTCTAAACTGTGAAGTCACTCCCAGCTTTTTGCAGGTTGTCTGTACTTGTTTCTCAATGCTTTTTAAGTACACTTTCTTTTCTCTCAGCTCAAGCTGTCAACATCCATGTTATATTCCAGTCTTTAACATTCTTCTGCATCCTTCACAGCTTTTTATCTGATGCCGGCAGCCCCTTTTGATTTAAGAAAAAAAAAAGACAAAATGGCCTCCTTCCCTCATCATGCATTTGTGTCAGCAGTCTAAACCGGCATGGCGGTATTCAAACATTGTTGGCTGTGACAGATGAGCTGTCAGGGGAGCACAATCCTCCTCCACATGCTCGCTTTTTTAAAGGTGACAGACCCACCTACCGTGATCGCTCGCTCTGGAGGTGTACAACATAGTTCTAAATTAGAAATTAGTAAATCTGCTCATTTTTGCTTTGCAAAGTGATTCATCTGTGTGGCTGCATTTTCCCACAGAGCCCAAGCTCTCTGAGGTTTATAGTCCTCCAGTAGACTGTCACTGTCTTGAAAAATACAGATCAGAAGAATCTCAACCTCTGCAGAGACATGCAATTTTACGTAGCCTTTAGTTTTTTTGACTTTCATGCATAGTTTGTATAGCAAAACAGCTTTATTTCCATGTGTGTTTTCGGTGTTTTAGGCCATTACCCTGACTCCAGGACTGCAGAAGGATTCCCATCGCTGGCTTGCTGAGGTTAAGGTATATTGTTGAGCCTAGCTCTCGATAATTATTTCTCTAGCTCAGTGGTCGCCAACCCGTCGATCGCGATAGATCTTTATCACTGTCCCAGTAGATCCCAAAAATAACATTAAAATAAGTACAAAAATGCATTACATTTCTGGGGTTATATTAATGCACAGTGGTGTGAAAAAGTGTTGGCCCCCTTCCTGATTACTTATTTTTTTGCATGTTTGTCACACTTTAATGCTTCAGATCATCCAACAAATTTAAATATTAGTCAAAGATAACACAAGTGAACACAACATGCAGTTTTTAAGTGAAGGTTTTTATTATTAAGGGAAAACAAAATCCAAAACTACATGGCCCTGTGTGAAGAAGTGTTTGCCTCCCTGTTAAAACTGTAGTTTATCACACCTGAGTTAAATTTCTCTAGCCACACCCAGGTCTGATTACTGCCACACCTGTTCGCAATCAAGAAATCTCTTAAATAGGACCTGCCTGACAAAGTGAAGTAGACCAAAATATCCTCAAAAGCTAGACAGCATGCCAAGATCCAAAGAAATTCAGAAACAAATGAGAAAGAAAGTAATTGAAAAAGGTTATAAAGCCATTTCTAAAGCTTTGGGACTCCAGCGAACCACAGTGAGAGCCATTATTCACAAATGGCAAAAACACGGAACAGTGGAGAACCTTCCCAGGAGTGGCCGGCCGACCAAAATTACCCCAAGAGCACAGTGACGACTCATCCAAGAGGTCACAAAAGACCCCACAACAACATCCAAAGAACTGCAGGCCTCACTTGCCTCAGTTAAGGTCAGTGTTCATGACTCCACCATAAGAAAGAGACGGGGCAAAAATGGTCTGCATGGCAGAGTGCCAAGACGAAAACCGCTGCTGAGCAAAAAGAACAAAGTGATGTATTGGCCGTGCACAGACCTTTTGAGGGGCTGAAATGAAATAACACAAAATAATAGTCTCAAAAGCTTTAGATTTATTCACTTTTAATAATTAATTCACTTTTATTCACTTTTAATATATATAATAATAATATATATATATATATATATATATATATATATATATATACAGTGGTGTGAAAAAGTGTTGGCCCCCTTCCTGATTTCTTTCACGTTAATGTTTCAGATCATCAAACAAATTTAAATATTATTCAAAGATAACACAAGTAAACACAACATGCAGTTTTTAAATGAAGGTTTTTATTATTAAGGCAAAACAAAATCCAAAACTACACGGCCCTGTGTGAAGAAGTGTTTGCCCCCCTGTTAAAACTGTGGTTTATCACACTCATGTTTTTTGCGTAAAGAAAACGCTGTACTTATTCAAACAACAAGATATTTATTTACCCTTGCAGACCTAGTTCAGCTGCTGTGGACCTTTAGTTCATTCAGTCAAGATAGAGGGGGTGGAGTTGTGAGGTTTACTGACAGTTTGAGCGGACCCAACAAGATTTAGTCACAAGCACTTTTTAATACCTTTCATTAGCTAAATATTTGTAAAGCAGACAGACAGATGTAAAGGGTGACCAATATAATTGATTTATTGAAGGAAAAAAACAAAAAACACCATCACCAAAAAAAGGGCACTTCGGAGTGTAAGGGCAAAAAAGGGCATGTCCTCTGCACAGGTTGAGCCATACCTGTGCATGTGCCTGATTGGCAGTAGCAAGTCTCGGTACTTGCTCTGCTGCAGCAGCAGCGTAGCAGATCTATTCCGCCAAGACCAAATACATTAACATTGTCATGTACATTACCATGCCAATTCCTCCGAGAGTTGTCATGACAGAAATATAAATATTTTTTTATTTAATATTAAGATTGAATTCATGTTTTTGTGCATCAGGGTTGTTATATTTCTTCCAATAGAATTATAACATTTGATTCGTATCTTTGTAAAATTAGTAACAAATATTTAGCTTTTATTTTGTTTCGGCAATAGTATAGTTTTCATCCTTTTATAACAGCACATTGTATTGTTCCATCTGCCCATTATGGCACTTTATACTAGGAAAGTATTTTTGCAGAGCAAAAACAGGGGTTGACTTATACATGTTGATCAGACACCTTGTTGCTGTCAAATTGGGTAGCATACACTGATAGTCAGAAGTCAGATTAATTACATGATGACCATTGATTAAAAAATATGGAAGCTAAAGTAAAGTTCTCTTTAATTTTGTTGAATCCCTGTTTACTATTATTGTTAAAAAAAAATTTTTTACTTAACAAAATTATTATTTCCCAGCTAGTTTTTATCTTTATAGTAGCTTTTGTTAACAGTAATAATAACCTTCTTGTGCTTTCATATTTCACAGCTGAATTAAATTTAAGCAGGTGATCCTAATAAGCTTAAACTCTTAAACTGGCATTTGTCAGTTGCTTTATGACTAGCAGTTATTATATCAAGTCATGATGTGATGTACAGTGGGTACGGAAAGTATTCAGACCCCCTTAAATTTTTCACTGTTTGTTAAATTGCAGCCATTTGCTAAAACCATTTAAGTTAATTTTTTTTTCCTAATGTACACACAGCACCCCATATTGACAAAAATTGACATTTTTGCAGATTTATTAAAAAAGAAAAACTGAAATATCACATGGTCCTAAGTATTCAGACCCTTTGCTCAGTATTTAGTAGAAGCACCCTTAGGAAGTTCCAGAGACACTCCTATTTCAGAAGGTTTTGCTTGACGTGAGCCACTTTTCCACCATCAGGCCGAATGGTTCTAAGAATGGTTACAGTTATATTTCCACTTAAGCTTTGTTCAGTATGGCACAATTACAAACTGGTCTCGGCCCGGAATTCTACTGTGCTGGTAAAATACGTGTAGTGACGTCGCCACTCAAGATTCCTCACTTGTTTGTTGTCTTGTTACTAGTTTATGTCTGTTGCTCGCCATGCGCACTATTTGAGTGAAGTAAAATATCTGATCATCCTCCATAATGCGATCACTATTTTCATCTCATACCGTATGTAAACACTTGCGTTACCAAGGCAACAGCTGACTATATTACAAGCTCTGTTATCAACCCTGCAGGAGACTGTTATCAATCCATACTGGCTGGGCTGAATCAGAATGGAATGCAACAGGAACAGTTTGGCCCTATGGTGGAAAAGTGGCTCTTGTAATACTGTTGTATGTATTATTGTGATACAGATTTATAGTCATTGTCCCTATGTCTGTGTGTGTTCAGTCAAAGCTCCAGTGGCTGTGTGAGGAGGTGCGTGAGCGGGAGTCCAGAGAGAGGAGGTTGAGGAGGACACTGCAGCAGAATAAGGAGCAGATGAAAGCACTGATGCAAAGCAAAGACTCAGAACTGCAGAGCCTCCTGGACCGCATTACCCTGCAGGATCGGCTCCTCAAAGACATCCAATCAGAGAAGAGAGGTACTAAGCAGGGATCAACGCTAAGGATTTTTTCTACTGCCCAGTTGGGCCAGTGGTTAAAATTTTTACTTGCCCTGCCAACATTTTCACTGGCCCTGCCACAAAAAAATAAAATCGTTGCTGTTATCATTGTTTTTGATCTGCTATCTTGTATTCTAATAAATAAGTTTATATGAGACCAATATTTTAGATACCAATTAAATTTTGTAATTCTCTATTTCAATTTCGATACCACAGCAAAAATCACTAACCAAAAATAAACATAAATATAAAGTTTAAACATTAAAGACAAGTGACAGCCAGTAAATAAGAACAAATGAACAAATTACAAGTAATAGCACAATTAAATCTAGGCCTATAGCACAAAAATAGAAATGAAATGATGCTTTAGGTTTTTATGTTTGTAGATGTTCAGGTACAGAAATTGAAAAATCACATATAAAATAAAATTTGCATATTCTTCACTCTGTGGTGCGCCTTGATTTTTCATAGCCATTTGAAATTAGAGGCAACCACTGCATTTTAATCATGAATTTAAAAAAAGTGCAATGTTTGGTTTATATTTAAATATAAATACATATATAATATGAAATTATATTTATACTGTATAATTTCAAAAATCTGAAGCAAAAACAGAATAACCTTACTTTAGCTTTGTGAAATTATGCTACATAAAACATCTGCACGAAAACGAAACAGCAGGTGGGCTGAATGAGACGCAGATTAACTCTGACAGCATACAGCGCTTATGGTACAGTGATACAGCGTTTCCTTGGTTACAGCTGTAAGCAGCGCTGCGTGTATTAACCATTAACACTAATTTAAATGCATCATACGGAGACAAAATGAAAAGAAAACGCCATTTCTGAAAACAGTCAGTTCCGTTCCCCTCAGAAACACATTCATATAAAATTAAATATTTGGCGCATCGTGAACAGTGACTGTGTCCGTCTTCAGCATCTCTGGCCTCTGTTAACGCCCGTTTACAGGCTAAGTATAATAATAACGTAATATTTCCACACAAATGTCCATTGGGAAAATGATTGCAGTGCACTTTGTGTGCAAGCACGGAACAGAAGATAGTCTGAAATAAAACAAAAAATGTCCGGTGCATCTGTAACATACTCCCATTGTATAAATTCAATATAGATTAATCATTGTTAAAGCTAAAAAGGTTACTTGCCAGGGTGGGTATTTTGACTTAGAATTTTTTAAATAACGTCTTAAAAACACATGCAAATAATAAGTCGTGACGACGCTGCAGTAGCCCGATCGGGCAAGTGACAAATGCGTCTACTGTCCCGAAAGTCTTTCACACTGGCCCCAGGCCATCGAGCAGTCCTTATTGTCGAGCCCTGCTTACTCGCCTCACTTCAGCACAGGTATTAATGTGAAGTCATATCCATTTTTTCTACTGCATATACTGTATTAAATTTGTATATATACTGGCTGACTTCTATTATAGCTTACTAGAGTTTGCTAATCACAGGTACAAAACATGACCTTGTTAAAATGTTCAACAAACCAATCAGTTATTTTTTTAAATGATTTATCAAACCAATTCACAAAGCACTTTTCACCGTATAAAAATGCATAATTGTAATTATAGTTTAAATAGAGTTTAAAATTATAGTCAAAATACTGTTATTGTTACTACTTGAAAATTATTTTAATAATAAAAAATAATATTACTGAAAATATTAATATAAAACGATTTGATTTCTCCTTTTATTTTTAAAATGTATTTCCTTTTTTTTCATGACAATTGTAACTAGTACAACGTCACCATAGTTTATTGAAGTAACAATGTCAAATTGTCAAAGCCTAGCAGAAATTGTGATTATCATGATAACTTTTATAAAGTGAGTTTTACACACAAGATATGATGAAACAACCCAATTTCAAAGAATCTTCTTTCTTCCAAAAATGTTTAAAAACATCACACAAAAATGACATTTGTTAATAATGGTTCAGAAAAAAAAAATAATAATAATTTTCCTGTGATGCTTGTATATTCACTGCTGGACATTGTTAGTAGACACCTTTTTCTGGTGGCTTTAAGCCCAAAGTATACTGTTCCACAGCAGTCCACACACTGTCCGTGTGATGTAATTTTGTCATCTGAAGTGTCCTTGAGCATCCGCGCGCACACTCTGTGTGCAGCCCAATTTTTGTGTCTGTGCATCTGGTCCGCATACGACAGCGCAGGTGCAAGGTAAATGTTGAGACAGAAAATTCAGAAAAAGAATTATACTTGGGCCTTTATCCCCAGAGCAGCTGAGAACTCTGAATTGCTCCCTCTTGAGCTGCAGTTGAAACATCAAGCTCTTCTGTCTTCAATATCTTACAGAATTCTTGCTTATACTGGTCTTGCTCCACACTGGTAATAGAAACAGGATCGGAAAAGATTGCAGTCACTGACCTTATGCTAATATTTGCTGCTGCTCCAATAGATGTCTTTGACAACACTAGCCAGATCTCTCCCTTTGTTTGATTTGTTTCTGGAAAAAAAGAAAGAAAATAAAACTGCTTAAATACCATTAAAAACCTTTACTGTTTTCAAGTGTAGTAGTAATCAAGGCAGAAGCCTTTAAATCAGGGGCCCGTTCTTCGTACATCGATAACTCAGTTAGCTGGATTTGATTGTTGACGATTTGGCATGATCTTGGATTGTTTGGTTCTTCGAAGCTCATCATAGCAACAGGTCCGTAAGCTTAAACCTGCTCAGGAGCAGGCTTATTTCATGGAAACAGGATTAGATTGCATCTTTTTAAGCAGAATCGATACTTAAAATCTGTCCGCTACCACTGCTACTTTATTACAAGAGTACCCTACTAATCCAGGGACAATAATTTAAAATAATAATCATTTAAAAATTTATTTTAAAATAATATAATAATGTTGTGTAGTCTTTAATACTATAGACACAGCCAGTTTTACTCACTGAAAGATTTATTCTATTCTGTGCTCTGATGCTGTTACTCGTAAATGCTCTGGTGAGGAGATAAATATCCAGGCATTTGTGTTTTGGTTTAGAAGAAATGTCTTTGGATTTGGATCTCCCAAGTTAATAAACAATATATCCCATAATTAATTCACTAGAATCCCTTGCTTGTTTGCCCCAAATCCTCACTGGCGCCTCTTTCCCAGATACATAGGCATTTTAAAGTGTAATTTTTACCCATTTCACTTCTAATTCCTATTATCATGTTTACTGGAATGACAATTAAACAATGAATTTCAATATTTCACTACTAGGGTTTGTACAAGGTGCTTAGAACACTTAAAGTAGTTGAATTTGAGTTTTTGAAATGTAAGTACTGGAAACCCTTGGAAACAGCATTGTTTATGAAGAGGTACTTGAAAATTCTTTAATCATTAAAAGACAATAAATATGAAACTGACCCGACAATAGGGACTGCTCAGTGGCCTGGGGCCAATATTAAAGAAGCTTAGTACAGTTGATGGAAATGATCGGGCCAGTGCTGCGTTGTCACAAAAGTTTATCATTTGTGTGTGTTTTTGCAGAAGATGCAAACGAGGACTCAATTCAGTACTTGCTTGGTGTTTTCTGTGGGCACACACCCAAAGTGCACACAAAGAGAGCTGCGTCTCAGAGCAGCGTGGTGTCACTGAGCAGCATGGATGCCGGATTGAGTTATCTTTTGTGCCTTCTTGCACTTGAACAGTCAAATACACACATTATTATGTCAAAATACCCATTTTGGTGAGTGCCCTCATAAACAGTCAGTTTTAAATGAACATAAACGGTTAAGAAAGAAATCAGTATACAAAATCTGCGCATTAGGTCTTAAAGTGACAGCAGCCGAATTACCCTCCAGCTGTCTACGTCAGTAATGTTAATCAAACAACAAAAGAAAAACAGAAAATCACTCGCTGCTCTTGACTGAATAACTTTTGTAGCTTTAACAAGCATGAATATATATTTCATTTATACCATAAAGACTATGAAGTCCTCTGTTGTATTATTAATATATAATTATATTTATATTAAGCAAATGTATTTGATAAGACTTGTTTTTCAAGGAATTTCTTGAATAATATGTGTAAGCCCACTGGCAAATTTCCAGAAAGATGTACAAAGACAGTATATGGCTATATATTATCAAGATGTTATATATTATCTCAGATAACTCAATCCAACCATACTAATCATTAACAACCGGTGCGTTTGAAGAACCGAAATAGCCAGATCCTGATTAGCGCGATGATATCATCTTGGATGTGACATTTAATCTCGGCTGTAATAAGCGACATATTCAGAACGGGCCCCAGAACTTAAATCTTCCCAACAGTTCACTTGTTTAAAAGGACAGTTCACCCAAAATTCTCTCATTTAAAAAATTTTCTGCTGTCTTTACTGGTAATATGAATCAAACAACAAAAGAAAAACAGAAAATCACTTCCTGCTTTTGACAGAATAACTTGAGTAGTTATTCTAACTTACTTGTATTCTGTGCTCTGATGCTGTTACTCGTAAATGCTCTGGTGAGGAGATAAATATCCAGGCATTTGTGTTTTGGTTTAGAAGTGAATAATATGTGTAAGCCCACTGGCAAATTTCCAGAAAGATGTACAAAGACAGTATATGGCTATATATTATCAAGATGTTATATGATGTATATAGATTTTTTTTTGCATATTTCTAGTAAAAACTGAAAAAGACTAAAAAATAAAAAAGTAAATTTACTTTAGAAGAAAATAATATTGATATGAAGTTTTAATATCTTTGTTTTCTCAAGTAAAGTCAAGTAAATTTATCCTGTATTTTTAGTCGTTTCAAATTTTTAATTGACATGCAAAAAATTTATATAATATGTAATGTAATATGTCATATGTTATATATCAATATGCAGCATGAATATTGATCAGTATCAAGTATTCTTCTTTTGAGCTCTATAGAAGCATAAGTCAGTGCTTGTATAAGTCAGTAAGGTTTGGTGACAGTGTTTGTAAATTATTCATTTGATGATTCTTTTCAATATCAATACTCGTTGATGTTTTCTTCCAGGTCTTCTTGAAATGGGCCGCAAGAAGGAAGATGAGATGAGAAATCTTCAGGTTAGTGTGAAGGAGTTTGTGTAAATATCTCACTGCTGGATGCACACGCACACACACAGGTTTCCATGTTTTATTGGGACATTTCGTAGATAATTGTTTTGTTTTCCTCATGGAGACCAAAAAAAAGTCCCTACATTATGTCATGACCAAATGTCCCCACAAGGATACCAATACCAGCAATGTTTGACTAGGGATGTAACAGTATGAAAATGTCTTATCACGATTACAGTGACCAAAATTATCATTATTATTATGGTACTGTAAAAATGTCCTGGAGATGTTAAAAAAGTACAGACACATAAATCACTTCACCAAGTTTTATATTTAAAAATCAACAAACAACAAATAAAATGACTTTTTTGTTTGCATAATCACTACAACAATAACATTACCAATGATGTTCAGATTTTAAATGACAACTTGACTAATAACAGTTTAATAGCATGTTGAAATATCTAATGAAAATGTTCAAATAAAGCTTTTAAAAGTTTAATAAAAAGGTAAACCTCACATTTCAGCCTTTAAATAAAAAATAGATATGTCAAAATTATAACTGATTAATAAATTATTATATGTATTTTATCTGCTCCATAAATAATTCTAGATACTTACCTGAATTGTTTAAATTTGTAGAATCCACATAAGCTTGTTTTTCATCAACCGGTTAAACTTTACAGCAGAGCATGCAAATTCGGTCCGTTTTTGGCCAGACAGACACTGCACACAGGCTGAATGTAAATATAAGTCTCTGTAAATCCACTTGCTGACAGCAGGTGGCGCTTATGGAAAAGTGAATTAGAGCTGTTTCCCGTAACTTCCATGGACAAAGCAGTATTGCGATTAAGAACACTTCCTTTAGGTATTAGATGGAGCGAAGATGAATACAAAATGCCATCGAATCATTTCTGAAGACCGTCAGAACCTTCAGAGGTACATTCATATAATTAATTAATTCATATATTCATTTGTATAATTCCCTAAGCACTCTTTTAAAACCTCCCAGCTTTTCCGCCCTGTTTTCACTCAAAACGAAACTACTCTGCGTGCTGTGCGCACGTGAGACTGTTACTTAGTCACCATGAAATCAAAATTGAAAATTCTTATTTTTTAATGGAAAACTGTAGTGTTTATTATAAATAATTTATCCGTGCACCTCATTATTTTTTTTTAAATTCATGTGCCCTCGTAATCTTTAATCAAAAACGTTAACCTCCCCTCCCCCTCAAAACGACTCATCTTCTCTTCCGGTCACGAGCTATGGCGCAAGGGCGGAGCTAGTGACGTGAGGGGTAAATGCTGGGGTAAATGCTGGGATAAACGACAGGGGGGGAAAGCTGAAGCTGATGCTTCACTTTATAGCACTGACACCAGTCATGAGGGAGTACGTTACCCCTAAACATTGAAAATTACGACAACATTACTCTTAGGACATCGCAAACTAATTTTTTTCATGAATATGACTTAACCTGATGGAGGACACGCTCAGTCATTCAAGCAGTCTCTCTCTTTCTCTCTCTCACGTGCGCGCTATTTAGGCATGTTTTGTGCCGTTGATCGTCGTCGTCATCCTTAATAAATAAAACATTTATTCATGCTTGGGTGTCGGCTGTGAATCCAGTGGAGAGAAATCCCCCACCACTAACTGCAAACTGGCATTCAGATCTGCCTCCATTTTGTTTGCAACGCCCCACCTTCCAACGATCCAATCAATTCCCGAAGGACGAAATCAAGTCCTGCCCTCTCATTTCTGATGCCGTTTCACTCGGATATACAGTACGTCACAGTAGAGAAGAAAAGACAATCGCAACTTCCGTTTCATGCCGACTTTAAAACTATGCAGGACAGTATTTATTTATCGCGAGTTGTTCAAATCGCGGTAATCTAATACGGTTTTAATTATAATTAAAAGATGAAGCGGTAATACTAACCGTGGGGAATTTTATCATAATTTATCGTCAAACCGGTAATCATTACATCCCTATGTTTGACCTTGTGGACATTTGGTCATGACATAATGTAGGGAATACCAGGTACACACACACACAATTTTCTCTGTAGTTGGTGGTTTACTTCCATAACCTCCATGTAATCCTGCATGAACATCAGTTGTCCTGCATGTGGTAGCCATGAAATCACACCATCTTACCCCTGCTTGTCTGCATGCTTTCAAACCTTACCCACTGGGTTCTGGAACATCTGCAGTGCCACAGAAGCACCTGCTATCCTGACTCTATTATGCATCAATCCCCTGGATAGGGCTCAGAAGAAACCAGCTGCATTCTGCCAGACAATAGGACACAGCGTCAGTAATTACACTTGGCTCTGGATTTCTCCCACGTGCTACTTTTGACTGGTGGATTAGAAACTGCTAGAACTCTCTTAATCACAATTTCCTGTGTCCAGTCAAAGTCACCTCTGTTTCTGTTTTTTATTTTTTTATTTTCTAGGACCGGATTGTAGATCTTGAAATGGTAGGCTATTTTGTTTTCATTTTTGTGTGTATGTTTGTGTTTCATTTTGTTGTGGTCTATGCTGTGAACTGCATCTGAAGCACAGGACCCAAGTAATACATACCAGTGAAAAATCTGAGCCACAGACACACCCCGCCACTGAGTTCAGTTTGAGTACTGCATAAGAGAATATACTACCATGTGTAACGCTACTATAATACTACTACTGGAAAATATTTTGGCACCACCAGTATTTTAAGGTTTAGGGAAATTGATGGTACCACAGCACTGGTATACTATACCATGCAACCATCTATATTTTACTGTCTACTGTCTAAATTGTATTGTGTGCAGCTTCTAAAAAATATACTAGACCTTAAGACCAACAACCATGGACTAAAATAAATAAAATGATTAATGCTGAGTCTCAAGAAAGTGTCTCTGATGAAGCATTTAATTTAAATAGACCAAAAACCTAATACCTAAACTTACTAGAACTAAAATAGTATTCTTCTGGTGGCTCCTGAAATGCAACTAGTTTACATTGTGAGCCTGATTCACAGAGACCCTTTCTGTGTTTTGGTACAGAATATTCTGTCTCCAAAGTTAAATTGCTGAAATGTTCCACACCTCAGTACACTATTTGCAAAAGTGTAATTATTTCTGTTAAATGTTTGAATTATAAATCATTACTTGGCTAAGAAATATGCCGCCGTTTGTTAAAAGTATTGACGCCTGTATTGACTCAGCAGTATTGTATTGTATTGAAAAATAAGCTATCGGACGCCTACCACATCAATCACCATTATGTGCTACGGCTGGCTGACAAACATTTAATTAGCTTCTGAAAAGCTTCAGCCTTTACTCACAGCTCAGTCTATTTACATCATTATTGCTTGGCACCACAAACACGCTGGTGTCAGGAATTGACCCTTGCCTCTTCTGGGAGATGCACTCATTCAGATGACTCGCAGCAATAGGTTAGAGCTACTGTAAGATGATTTTTTTTAAATATTAAAGACATATTAATTCTAGGGTTAACACTATGTGTATTTCCTAGAGCACCAGACTGGCCTTAGATCATCTGGAATCAGTTCCTGAGAAACTGAGTTTGCTGGAAAACTTCAAGGATCTCGAGGTTGGATCATAAATGATGTTTTGGTTAAGATTTGACTTCTCTCTGAAGCAGATATCATGGTTGGCTTATGTGGTTTCAGGAGTCACAGAAGCAGAGAGAAATGGTGGAGCAACGTTATGCCAAATATAAGGAGATAGTTGGTGACCTCCAGCATCAGCTTGAGGAATCTAAGATGAGGATTCAGGAATACAAGGTACGAAAACTTGAGAGGCAAAAATTAGGGGGAACAGTCAATTTTCTTACTGTGTAAGGTTGGATCTTAAAGGGGTCATATGATGCAATTAAAATTTTTCCCTTCTCTTTGGAGTGTTACAAGCTCTTGGTGTATAAAGAAGATCTGTAAAGTTGCAAAGACTAAAGTCTCAAATCCAAAGAGATATTCTTTATAAAAGTTAAGAGTCAGCCACGCCTACCAAAAACGGCTCGTTCTAACACGCCCCCACATATCTACATCACAATGTGGGAAGATTTGCATAACGCCGCCCAAATGTTCACACAAAGAAAAAAGGCATAACTTTTATTCTCACTGTAGTATTGTTGTTGCCGCCGCCATGTCGTGAAGACGTTGTGTGCTTCGTTGTGAAAGCGAAACTACTTTATTTGGCCTTCCAAAAGAGAACAATATCGGCTTCGTCATGCCTGGAGCTGATCCGTGCTGGTTGCTGAGGAAATACAACAACTTTGCACCGTGGACGAAGCGGAGTCCAGCCCGGGGTCGTCACATGTGGTTGCCGCAAGCCCTCCGGACGCTCCTACGTCGAATCCGCCAGACGCGCCGTTCTCAAGCCCGCCACCTCTGCTCACTCTAGCCCTCCGGCCGTTCCTCACTCTAGCCCTCTGCTCTGCTCACTCTAGGCCACCGTGTGTGATGCTGTGTTTCGTTGTGAAAGCGAAACTACTTTGTTTGGCCTTCCAAAAATGGACACGACTACAAATCAGTGGTTAAGTTGTATTTTCAACACTGTTCCAGAACACTTCAACCCAAATATTCAGATGTGTGCAGCAGATTTTATGGAGGGCCGTTTCCTGATCCTGGTAGAGTAGACTACAATGCCGGCTGTTCTGACTCAGACTGTAAGTACGTTTTTTATATTTAAAGAGTTTTTATATTTTTTATATTTAAAGTGAGTTTTTTGTTTAGAGTTTAGAGTTTTTTGGGCAGTGTAGAGTAGGGCTTGTTTGTCATTTCTCCAATCACAAATGCAGACATGTTTACACGGCGCGATGCAACGCAATGCGTAAAAAGACAATATAAGTCATTATAATCCATAATTATGTCCCCACTGGATGCAACGAATGCCTCGTTTATAATGAGTTTTCATGTTTTTGAATCATCGCTCCGGCCTGACAGGGCATCATCACAGTATGGTAGGGGCGTAACATTTCAGTCACACGCTTGAGGTATTCGGCCAATCATATCGCACTGGATAGCTGGCCAATCACAGCACACCTTGCTTTTCAGACCGATAAGCTTTGTAAAAATCGCCACGTTTGAGAAAGGCGGGGCATAGAGGATTTATTAAAACAAAATGAGAATTCATAACTATTGACTGACAATAATGTACAGTATGTGGAAAATAATGTGTTTTTTATTAACCTTAAACCGCATAAACACATTTCATTACACCAAATACACAAAATAATGTTCTTTTTAGCAACATCATATGACCCCTTTAACTCTTGAATCTTATAGACTGATCTCTTGCTGTTAATTGTAGGATGAGAAGTTGGATGCAGCCTGTCGGAGTCTCCAGCTTACTGGTCTGACATCATCTGTGCTCATTCAGAGCAATATCCTGACTGGTACCACTCTGTCTACCCATACCTGTGAGTACAGCAGTATGACAGTTGCTGTTAAAAGTTGTTATAATCATGTTCTGTGATTGATGAAAATTGAATCAGTATTTCGAATATGATGTCAATAGTTATGAATTCTCATTTTGTTTTAATAAATTGAAACAAGTTAATAGTGGCCTTGATAGTGCTTGGTTAAAAAAAGGCATTAAACAAATATTGTTTAATACCTGAACGTTCACCTCATAAACTGAAAATGACATATGGTACCAAAATTTCAGAAGTTGGTACCAATAGCAGTAAAATTTCACGCTTCTCAGTACCAATTTCGGTACCATAGCAAAAACTATTGTAAATGTTTTATTTTAATATTTAGTTTATTTAACTATTTGAAAATAAAAATATCAAATAAATGAAATTAGTTAATTATTAATCCTATTAAGAATGATAGGTAAATTATACATTAAAACATTAGCATGCAGCCTTCAAATATTGTTCAATTATGTAAACATTGCATTTAAAAATTAAAATGCAAGTACTAAAATTACAAATAACCATTACAGGTAACTGAACAAGTGGCAGGGCTAATGTACTTGCACTGCAAGACTTGCAGATAGGGCTGTGTATCGTTTAAAAATTTTCTATATCGATACCGATACCTTGACTTCGATACCGGTTCCTGAATGATACTTTTTTCGATACCAATTTTATTAAATCAATTTTAACAAGATTACATTATCTAAAAAAAACAACAAACTTTGGTTTTATTTTTCAGCTTGTTGATGTTTATACAAACTCAAAGACTCATCTCCTGAGCCACTGCACAAAGGAACAAAATGTAACCAACACAATAAATCAGTGCAAATAGTTTTAATAAAGCTCAAATAGTCTTCAGTTTACACATCTGTTAGGCTACATTTACACTAGTGCGTGTTCGTTTTAAAACGCATAACTCAGACAGAATCATGATTTCTATTTATTTTCCACTGATTTACTGATGAGCATTAGCAGCTTCCAGCGCTGTCTGCCTGTGTTCTCTCTTCCATGATCGCTGCTCTGACTTAATTTCAGCAACATTACATGGCCAAAACACACATTAGACGGCAACCGGAAGTTATTACAAACACTCGATGGTTGTTTAAAGTGAGTTTTGAGTAAAAGCAGAATATGAATCTTATTTATTGTCTTATGTAGCATGATGCTACAGTTTGCATGAATGGTCACATAGCACTCGCTTTCGGTCGTGTAGTATGAACGGACATCTGCATATGATCGGAACTCCACGCAGCTCCCGCGCTACTCTTCATTGGAAATGTCGTTTGTCGGAGATAGTGGAAAGCCGGCTTGAAACACAGTGTAAACGCCAGTATGACGAGGATCGTTTTCATTTAAAAACATAAACGCACCAGTGTAAATGTAACCTTACATCTAAGGGGGCTGGGATGCATTCGCACTACAGCCTCACGTGTGCACCACATCTCTGAGTGTAACCGGTGTAAACTAGTAGGTGTGTTCGACTTGGCGCGGACTGACTGTGCAGACCGATCGGTGTATT